TCACTGGCTCTGACCTACTGAGGAACCCATCGCGGACTGAAACATACTTCCATGCGTCGCTGATGGAACACATGACGCGTTCTTCACCGCGTGACAGCTCTGACATCACAGGCGCAGACCGGAATATAAGCGGCCGTTTCAGTATTGGCGGGGCGCGTTATTATTACATCCAGGGCTGACCGGGGCATGCTGACGCACCCTGCGAGTGTGCTGTGATACTGGTGGTGATCGCCGCTGCAGCAAGTGACCACCACCAGAGGTTTTAACAGCGATCTTTTTACCTGCAGTGGGAAAGTCACACTTGCGAAGGACACAGAAGAAGAAGGAGCCTTCCGACAGACGAAGCAGATTATCCGCCAGTCGGAAATGTGGCAAGTTGAGAACGAGTTTTATGAGTTCGTCCAGGAGCAGTTCAACTTTGTGAAGCATAAGACAATGACGTCAGTGGGGCGGCATGGGGCGCGTGACGCCACTGCAGCGCGGCTACCACTACGAGAAGCTCCGTCCCAAGTAGCGGCAGGACTGGCGGGTGAGGAGGTGGTGGTGGCCGCTGGCCAGCCGGCGGCGCCTCCCCCCGGTCCCGGGTCAGCGGGCCGGCGGCGGCGAGACACGGGCCCCGAGCAGGCATCAAACGACGCCAGACGACGGCCGCACGGGCAGAGCTGCCGCGGGCTGGTCATGGACTTAGGGTGTCGGTGGAAATGGACGGCCGGCCCTCAGGAGGGCCGTGTGGGCGCCGTGTTTGGGACCTGAGGTTCCAAAATGTGATGAAGGCGCTGGTTTGGAGTGGATTCGGTATGGCGAATTTTGTCCTTCCACTCACGTGTTATCGTCGCGTGGCCCAAGGGTTTTTCCAGACGTTTACTACAGTCATCAGTAAGCTTATATATTTATCACAGCACGGAAGAACATAATAATATGTGCCATTTCTCGTGTATGGTGTGTACTTGTGTTGAAGTTATTCTTCTAGCCTGACATCTACCGCCTCTTTTATAGGCCCTATTTCCTTGTTCGTTGCGACATATTAGGTTATTCGAACATTTGGGTGTGCAAGGTTCGACTCATTTTAAAAAAAAACAAATCAACATTTTCATGTGTGACATTACGCACGCCCGACAGTGCGATGTGGCATTTCGGAACGTTGTTTGACCCGTGCTACCGTGACACGCGTCTGCTTAGGTAGCCTCTGGGTCAGACGCCGTGGAAGACAACCTTTGTGACTGAGTGCGTTCATCGTCAACGGATGTGACAGCGCGTGGCCACTGTTGGAGCACGCGCTGATGGGTTATGCGTTTAGATAACGCGCTTGAGACAACAGCATCTATCGGACCCTTACCGCAGCCAGTGTGCTCGTCACCGTGCAGACCAACAGGGTTTAGCTGATCCACGCTTGGGAGGAGGACACACAGGGGCATTGTTTCTGTCGATATGGCACTTGCATGTATGATCTGCTCACGTCGGTCGGTGTCCATCGTGTCGGACTCCCGACATGGGTTCCGGTTGTGCCATGCAGTGAAGCACGTCATCATGATCCGCCCAATAATAGGTTCCAGCAGGTTTCGTTTTACCGCCCTCGTAACCAGCCTCGCCCGGTTATACCAGCAAAATGCGTTGATCTGGTAGCACAGGCTAGCGATGTGTTCATGATATCCGTCGTGTCAGAATGTCGTGATAGGGGCTGGAGATGCGCCTAATGGCGCTGTCGTGGCGCTAGGTCGGCTGGTTGTCGCGCTATGATTCATAATTTGTCTGCAGATGAGTGCAGTTTGAGTCATGATGTCATGTTGGTGTTCTCTTAGTGTTGGACCTCTTCCAGGATGTGCTTGGTTGTAGCCAACAAACGCATGTTCGGTTGCGCTTGTACTTACAGAATACTTCGTCAGGGTCAGTTCCTGTGAGTTTAGGTAATGTTTCAATTTTACAATCAAAGACATTAGTCATGCTCCTCAAAAATCCTTGTATGTATACAGAGAATGCGTGGCGACAGCATATTTATGATGCTGCCGACAACCAGTAGACGAGTTTGGGTTATCTTGGATATGAAAAGCTGTCCACCTGCTCGGCGCCACGTACAAACATGCCGGACCTGAACTCCGAGGTGCCGCTGGAAGACGGCAAACATTAAACGGTTGTGTACCAAGGGGCCCTTTTCCCGGATCTGTTCGACACCGAGCACATAAAATTATCGGACAAATATAAATACATCCTGGTGTAGTGCATCATTAAGAGATGGCGGTTGGGGTGCCGCCAAGTGAAGGTGGGTAACATACGTGATAACGAATCTCGAGTCTAGCGGCGGCGCTGCTGACGGCGCCGCTGGGGCGGCGCTGACACACCGTAAAGCTCCATCTCGTGACCCGCGTGTCTGAGTGCGTGTGCATGTGCATATTTATAGCTGTGCTGTTGCGGGGCCCGCGTGCCCCTGTGGGCGGCGGTCGGCCGGAGCCGGCCAGCACGTGCCGGCGGCGGCGGCGCGGGTCTTGACCCTGGCCGGCCGCCGGCCGTGCGGCTGCGCCGCTCTATTTATAGGCCCTCACGTCTGTGGCCGTCTCGCACGGGCGCGTCGCGGCCAGCCAGCCACGCGGTGTGCCGCACGTGCGCTCCGCGGCTGGGCGCCGCTGCCGACTGCGGGGAGGTGGGCCGCACTAGCCCCCGACGCCGATCGCACGTGGTGGCGGAACATCGGGCCGGCGCCGGCGGGCTATCGCCTCACCTTGCGCGGCGTGTGACGCTCGTGTGACAGCCTGCCTGGTGCCGGGCGCCTCACCGACCGGTGTTGGGAGCAGTGCGGCGCTCAATTGCTGTAGGCTTTCGGGCGCGGATTCAGCCCACGACATGATAGATGGCTGTTATGTGCAGACGCTTCTGTTGTGTGCGGTAAGGCCTGCTTGGTGACGAAAGCAGCCCCATGAAGACGCTTTAATACACATGTTTCGTCAGCGGGGCGTGTGTTCGGTGTGGTGTCGCTCGTCTGGCTTCAGGGCGAGGTGACCCGAGGGTGACAGAACCCGCCGCCTTCGCTGGCCCGTCTCTGTAGCTTCTGGCCCGACTTTGGCAGAACCCGCTGCCTTCGCTGGCCGGTCTCTGTAGCTTCTGACCCGGCTTTGGCAGTACTCGCCGCCTTCGCTGGCCGGTCTCTGTAGCTTCTGCCCCGACTTTGGCAGAACCCGCCGCCTTCGCTGGCCCGTCTCTGTAGCTTCTGCCCCGACTTTGGCAGAACCCGCCGTCTTCGCTGTCCGGTATCTGTAGCTTCTGCCCCGACTTTGGCAGAACCCGCCGCCTTCGCTGTCCGGTCTCTGTAGCTTCTGCCCCGACTTTGGCAGAACCCGCCGCCTTCGCTGCCCGGTATCTGTAGCTTCTGCCCCGACTTTGGCAGAACCCGCCGTCTTCGCTGGCCCGTCTCTGTAGCTTCTGGCCCGACTTTGGCAGTACCCGCCGCCTTCGCTGGCCCGTCTCTCTGGCTTCTGACCCGACTTTGGCGGTACTCGCCGCCTTCACTGACTGGTCACGTTATCTCGCGACTAGCGGCACCGCATGCGATACCGCTCCCACGGAATGACTTCAGATTACCAAGGCACGGCTGGTCAGGTCAATTTTGACGCTGATGCAGGGCGCCGCTTCAGTCACGCAACGGAGACGGCTTGAGACTTGAGACGGCTTCATTTCGACTCAGACATGGTTTGGTGAGAATTGGTATGAACGTTACCATATATGCATTTTGCCATATATATTAGTCATGCATATATATATATATATATATATATATATATATATATATATATATATATATATATATCAGAGCAAGAACGTGGGTCTTTTGCCTTTGCCATTTGAGCCAACCAGTCGTTAGTTCAAGCCAATCTCACCGACTCATTTCGGACATGAGACTCCCTTCTCACTGCAACAGCTTCGCCCAGGACCCTCTGGTCGACTCCGGGGTCGGTATTGGCTCCACCTGGCGTCTGGAGTCCAGCACAGTGCGTCCCCGTCCAGTGTCCATGTTCTCCGGCCCTGGCCGGTGGTTACGCCTATGGCGGCAGTGGCGGCCCCCGAGCGGGGGGGGGGGGGGGGGCAGCGTGTGGCGGCAGGCGGGCAGCGGGCTAGATCGAGCCAGTCTGATCCACCGGACTGGTTATTGCGCCCGATGGTGAATATTTGTATTCACCGTACGGTGGAGATCGGGTTGGATGATGTCAGCTATCTCGCCAGACGTTCGAGGCTTGCCGCTGTAGTAATAGGGCTTGCCGTATCTCCCTTGACGTGTTATATTACTCATTCACGGCCCCGCCTCCCATGTGTTTTGCGCCTTAAGTCAAGACCGCAGGGCTGGCGTTCTGACCGCTGTGAACTTGAATGATTATTTGATTCCCCCCCCCCCCCCCCCCCCCGCCGCCCCAGCCAATTCGTCCCAACATTTCTACTTCCCCACTGGTAAAAACGACAGACCGGCGTCTCAAATTGCGTTTGGCGCTTCGGATCCTCGTTGCGGCCGATCCTTGGCAGCATTGGAAAAACTGGTGGTTTTTGCCTTTACTCCCTATTGAGCACAGCCGGGTTCTCGTTACTGAAGCTTTGAAATAATTACCTTCTGATACGATTAGCACTCCTGGATGCGCTTAGTACTTCGCAATCTCCACGCCAGGTCAGCAGACTAGTTTGAGAAGCTTCCAGATGGCTCTCGACCAGCGGTGACATTCACCCATCTGTCATACCAGCACCCACCACCAGCAAAAACGACTAACGCGGATCTTCAATCCCCATATTGCTAAACACCTCAGTAAAAAGTTCGCTCCTGGTCGGTGGGTACCCATCTTGATATGCCGTTTAAGAGCATGTCCGAAATTCATTCATGCCGAAAGGTCACGTCTGAGCGATCAGCTGAGGACTCGAGCGGCATATCTGGCCCAGTATATTTCAGAGTCTCAGGCAGTCAGTTTTATGCCCGCCTAGAATCCTAGCGAAATTCGCAGAATGAAAAACACGGTTATCGTAGCATGTCTTCCTTGTCAAAACAGGAGAGAAGTTGGTCATCCGGCGACGAACCATTGCCTGTCGCAGGTGTTGGTCGTGGACAAATAGCCAGTGTTTGGAATTGTCATAAAATGACGATCCATTCTGACCCAACGTTCCTTGCTCGCACAGGCAACGCAGATTCAACACCGAAGCAATTTTATTATTTGACAAAATTCGGCAATGTCAAATCAAACTAATAACTAGCGCTGAGGTACAGGTGCCGGCGCAGCCCAGCTACTTGGTCTTCTGCTTCTTGCGCGCCTGGTTCAGCTTCTCCGAACGCTCCCTGGCCTGCTCGTACAGCTGCACCAGCTTGCCTTCTTTCGCCAAGATCTTGAGTAGCTGTAGAACGAAATATGGTTACAGAAGTGCGGCTGGTTTCAAGATGTCTAATCCAGCTGACCCCTTCAAATCAGAAGGGCCCGCAGCCCCGCCCAAGGTGCTTCCTATAAAAATAACGTAAATAATCGCGCCCAAATGTTTAGTTGACGACCATACAAGATCATACACCTTCTCCCAAAGTACGAGACTCAAAAAGGCACGAGCGATGTCATGTTGGGGAGCGTCACGTCTGTCTAGTTTTGCATTCATCAGCCCGATAGCGTGTGCTTGGTAGACAAAATGCATTCAGAAGCATTGCCCTAGCGCTGTCCGGTATATTTGGTCATCACATGCTACATGCCGATCGTTGTGCACCATCATCGAATGCATCCCTGTAATGACATGCAGGATATTTGATTTAATGCTATCAAATATCGCGTTGTCCATGGTACTGGGCCAATTATGCCGCGGAAAGGATTTTTAAGACAAAAGTTTGGCCTTTGTGCCCAGATTACACACACATGGGTAAAATTAATCAGCGTTTGATGCAAATTAGGCGGACGATATTCCTGGGGCCACCAGGTTCCAGCCCGATGCCCCTCAACCCTCGTAACCCAACCGTGTCCTTCGCGCACAAAAAACTCGCTACGCCGGAGACTGAAATGGTTGGCACATCAAGGATCTCTTGCTGTCCATTCCAACGCAGTTCTTGGGCCTACATGTTTACTTCCCGAGATAGCATGGTCGGTTGTGAAGGCAAGCGAGCACTGCAAACGCCAGACAAACGCGCACACGTCGGGGGGCTAACGACAGCTGGCGACTGTGGACGAGCTAGAACGGCGAGCCGAGCTGAGGCAGACCGCTGCATCGCTCCTCACCTCCATAATGAACGGGATGTAGTTGTGCTTGCGGCGTATGTTTTCCGTCCGGTAGGTCTCCATCTTCTTCTCTTCCTCGGAGATGAGCATCTGCAGCCGGGCCATCTCTGACTGTGCCGAGTCCGTATCCATTCCCGCCTCCTAACACATGCGCGAGAAAGGAGAATGTCAGACGAGCGCTGCAGAAGGCACCGACTCCCTCTCCCTCCCCCACCTCCACAGCGAGCCGCGCCGGTACGCGCTGGGCGCAGAGTCCGCGGCACGGCTTCTGTGTCTCGCTCCCCACCTCCACTCCACAGCGACTGCCGGTGCGCGCTGGGCGCAGAGTCCGCGGCACGGCTTCTGTGTCTCGCTCCCCACCTCCACCTCCACAGCGAGCGTGCCGGTACGCGCTGGGCGCAGAGTCCGCGGCACGGCTTCTGTGTCTCGCTCCCCACCTCCACTCCACAGCGCCGTGCCGGTACGCGCTGGGCGCAGAGTCCGCGGCACGGCTTCTGTGTCTCGTCTCTCGCTCCCCACCTCCACCTCCACGGCGAGCCGCGCCGGTACGCGCTGGGCGCAGAGTCCGCGGCACGGCTTCTGTGTCTCCTCCCCACACAGGCCCACACTCGTCGCAGTCAGTGTGCGGAGCATGACAACCCGCCTGCGTGTCTCAGAAAAACCTCCGCAGCTCTCCGCGAACTGCGAACCACATTTGATGGAAACAACCAGAACCAGAAGCACTGAACACAGGCTGTTGTTGACCACGGCTGTCCAGTCTTCTATGCCACCAGCCCCCCCCCCCCCCCCGCGATATATGTACTGTCGGCTTCACGTCTCACGGTCATCAGGCAATAGCGTTACAGCATGAGGCGGGACGGAAACAGACGAGCAGCACCATCAGCACTGATGACGGATGTAGGCCAAATAGCAGTCTCTGGTATAAGGGGTAAACTAAACGGGTTCACTGCCAGGATGGAGCCAGGTCTACAGGCTGAAGTGGGTAAGTTTTGTGTTACCATGCTCACCGCACCGAAGGTAGCACGCCTCAGCGGACTCGAATGGCGATGTAACTGCGCGAGCACATCTATCCGTCATGACAGCGACACTCGTACTTCGGCGACGAGAGCACAAGCCAACCAGCATCATTAACTCCGCGAAGGCAGCGGCATGAGGTACTAAGCACGTGCGGCCATGTCCTGACCTTGTCTTCAGGCTAGTGACCGTCCACCCACAATCGAGAACCCACCGACATCCAGCCTCTATCACACGGCTCCGTGTCCTTGTCTATCGGTGAACGTCGCCCGGGCGCCCTGTGGTTATGACGCGGGCGCCGGCCCCCGGCTGTGCCGCGTCGGCCAGCCCCGCCCGGGACTCACCTGAGCGCCGGCCTGCAGCTGGCGCAGCTGTTTCTGGTAGAGGGCGCGCCGGTCCGAGATGATGGCCATCAGGTTGAACCTGATCTCACCTTCGCTGTACCTGGTGGAGCACGCCGCGCCGTCAGGGGCCGGAAGTCAGAGACCGTGGAGCGGTTGCTATTGTTACAGCCCGCCCAACTGACGTCATCACGGCGTTTCACAATGCGCATGACAAAGTACTGCCATGCAGGCGATGGATGAAACATAAACCAAGACATACGTCCCACATGTCTTCTTTAACAAATCAGAAGAACCGTTGCCACCCTGACAAATGGGAAAATATGGACCTGTTTTATGGACCAGTTAGCCAGTTTTCAACATTGCATAGCTTTCATTTACAGTCAGCTGTCAGGGAGACATATCCAAGTTAAAACAACAGCCAGAGCCCCTCTCAGCCCTTACTTAACTTTCAGATGCAGCTGATACATAAGACTGCATTCACAACTAACCACAACATTTCTGCCATGGCATTGGCAGACGATGCGAGGCCAGACAAAAACTGCCAACACTGTTGTAGCATTGGGATATCAGTTGTTTCTTTGAATGATCAAAGGAGTGTGGCAGTGGATCTAAGAGTGAGGGGGCCAGGAGTCTTAACCGTTAACCTCCTGTCTCCACAGGAAGCGAGAAAGCGTATACCATCCCCCGCTGTCTCCAGGGGGGGGGGGGGGGGCAGAAGCGTCTATCCCCACCCTTCTGTCTCTACAGGAAGCTGGAGTCTTCGCCCTTACCCTCCTGTCTCAACGGGGAGCGGGGGTCTATACCGCCACCTTCTCGCCTGGGAGTTAAAACAGTCCTCTCTCTGTCCGAACGGAAGGCGTGGGAGTCTATACCGCCACCCACTACCCTCATGGGGGGGGGGGGGGGAGCGTATATTACCACCCTCCCGTCCCCACGGAAGGCACTGCCCTGTGCCAAAGCGTCACCAGCCCGTCTCTACAAGCGGCGGGGAAGTCAGCGCCGTCGGCAACCGCTCACTTCTGCATGCGTTTCTCGATGATGGGTCGGGCGGCCTGGGTCCAGTCCGTGTCGGCCGGCAGCGGCCCGTGGTCCAGAGGTGCCTCCTTCAAGCCGTCCAGCTCGTACAGCCGGCCGTCCACCGGCACGTAGCTCACGAAGTGGTACACCTCGTCGTCCTTGGTCGCCGACTTGTTGTCCAGCTCGAACAGTGTCTGCCTGACGGGAGACAGACGCCACGCGCTGTCGACTTCACGGGGGTGGGCCAGAGACACGACCACCGACACGCAGGCGATACGCTGCACGCGTCCCGACCCGGCTGTAAGCGGAATAGAAGGCCGAAGGAAAACACGACGTTCGCCTGGAAAAGCATCTCTTTGACGATATAGCATGAGCGATAACCCTAGCAAGTGGGATTCAACAACGCGTTGCAATATTCAGTCTTTTGGCGTCCACTTGTCTCACGCCTTTTGCCGCGGGCGACGCACAGTATGCCTTCCCCCTCCCCTGAAAACAACGATGACGCACCCAGTACTACCATCTTGAAACACTGCACAGACACTACGGCATCCGCACGCCATGCTACCCATAGACCCCTTAGCCCCTGGTTGAGACCGCAACAAAGACGGGGCAGGAGAGCTACGCGACAGCTAACAGAAATCAGCCTGGTGCGTCGCCCGCAAGGAAGCGGCGCTGCACGCACCACACCGTCGAGCACAGGTCAGGTCAGGTCGGGTCACGCTCGGCGCGCGCCGCCGTCCGCGCTGCCCCACCTGGCGAACGAGTTGTGCACCGTGCGGATGACGTCAGAGTTGCTGAGCGCCAGGCCGCGCGTGGCCGGGTCGAAGCTCTGCGTGAACTCGCGCAGCTCGGTCAGGTTGCTGCCCAGCCGCACGTCCGGGTGGTCCGTGTTCATCAGCACGCTGAGGATGGCCTGGGTGGCGCACGCGTTGTTGATCACCTGCGGACGACGGGGGCCGGGTTGAGCTTGCTCGCGGCGGCGGCTGGGGGGGGGGGGGGGGGGAGCGGGTTGAGCTTGCCTGCGGAGGGGGGCCGTGTACAGCTCGCTTGCGGCGGAGGGGGACCGGGTTGAGCTTGCTTGCGGCGGAGGGGGCCGTGTATAGCTCGCTTGCGGCGGAGGGGGCCGGTTTGAGCCTCCTTGCGGGGGAAGGGGCTGTATAAAGCTCGCTCGCGGCGGCGGCGCGGGCCGGGTAAAGCTCGCTCGCGGCGGGGGGGGGGGGGGGGTTGAGCTTGTTTGGGGCGGAGGTGGCCGTTTGAGCTTGCTTGCGGCGGAGGGGACCGGGTAGAGCTTGCCCGCGGGGGGGGGGGGGGGGTGACGGGTTGAGCTTGCTTGCGGCGGAGGGGACCGGGTAGAGCTCGCTCGCGGTGGAGGGGGGCCGGCTTGAGCTTGCCTGCGACGGAGGGGGCCGTGTAGATCTCGCTCGCGGCGGCGACGGGGGCCGGGTAGAGCTCTCTTGCGGCGGTGGGGGCCAGGTAGAGCCGCTCGTGGCGGCGGCAGGGGCCGGGTAAAGCTCTCTTGCGGCGGTGGGGGCCGGCTAGAGCTCGCTCGCGGTGGCAGGAGCTGACACGGCAGCGCGCGCCACCCCTCACGCTCGGCCCCAGTCGCCTTGGCGCGTCACCCGTTTTGGGCCACGCTACACAATGTAAGGAGCTTACTAGATCCGGCCATGGCACACGACAAACCAGCTAAGCTTACAAAATGAGAACTCGACACATCACTCAGAGGAGACCAGACGGGTTTTCGCTCCGGCCAATTTAACTGAAATTTTCCGCCTTTGAAGATATTGAAGTAAGTGTCAATATGACGAAATGAGCTCACAAACTATTGGTATGCTTTCAGTAGAAAATGCTGCTCTGGATGACACCATTTCTCTTTTAAGTTAATATTCTGCCCAATACGTCATTGCTTTATTACTTTATTGCTTTATTATCGTGCCTTGCACAACACTGATCGAGAGCTTATTGACGGCCGTTATATCTGGAAATCGGGCTCAATCTAAATCGCCAGATCTGAACGACTCAACAATTATGCCTTTTCTGGACCCTGATCGCCGTATAGCCAAGGGAATGGCAGGATTTGAGCGACGCTATTATAGCATCATGAATGCCTGGGTGACCTTAAAATAGTCTGCACATGTTTGCTGGTGTGTAGCTATGAAACTAGAAAGGTTTAAGTCATAAGAAGGGCAGGGCTGTGAACAGAACTAAATAACCTTCAAGGTGGTTTTACCATTTCAAAGCTCCATACAAATTTGGAACATTCTGTTTAACACGGGTCTGCACTCTAACCTGTTTGGCGAAGAAAATGCGCTCGAGCCTGCTGTCCTGGACAGGGGTGCCAGCTGTCGACGAGTCTGGTACCCACTTGAAGAGGAAGACTAGCCCATGAACAGGCCTGCAGACAAGAGTGGTCATGCAGCATGGCATAACACAATCCCAGATGGACCTAGCACACACCATTCATTATCACGGTGACTACACCATCCCATGAGATGCTGGAATGGCACTGATTGCAGCTGATCAGTAGATTACATATTAATTATAATATAGTAATATAATAATAATAATATAAATACAATATATAACATATTAATAAAATAAACATAATAATATAATAATAAAATAAACATAATAATATAATAATAAAAAAACATTCATAGTGGATGTCCTTCACATTTTGTGAACACCCAAGGCAGTGGGCAATGCATGTAGCACATCAGTCAAGCAAGAAATGGTGACAGAAAAAGATCAGGAAAATAATATGTTCCCATGCTACTTGGCTACCACACCCTCTGCTTAGTGATTCATGCCTATCAGTTTCAAATGTTAACCCAAGTGCAGTGATTACACTCACTTACCTCAATTTTGTAAACATTTCATCATCCATGCTCCAAACCTCTTCCACTTGGGCACCAGTAACACCTGCAACAAAAAATGGTACATTTCTAAACAAAACTGTTCAAATAAATCCTTAACTGAAATGCATGACTGGCTACTAAAATAGCAAAAACAATGTCAAAGATATCTGCATTCAGTAGTGTGGTTAATTAAATTTGCATACCAGTCTTGCATACCAGGTGTGCACATACAGCCATATGGTACCCTAGTGGTGTTGGCAGCTTTAAACATAAGAATTTGCTGGTTAGTGTATCTAATGATAGCAATCACATTTATCTATGTCCTTAGTTAAATAAACTCGAACTCAAATTTAGCTTGTTAGATTCAGCTATAATTTCACACATCACAAGAAACTTGAGACCTCTTGATACCAATGTGGTGGAGAAAGTGATGCATGTTCACAAATAACATCACCAGCAAATTTTGCAAACAGACTGATGCTACCTATAACAGGCTATATGACTTCAAAGATGCAGTATATCATGTGCTTAAAGTGAACACAAATGCTTTTATTGTTCATGGTCCACAAAATATTCTACTAAAAAAAGTTAGTCATTTCTTAACAAGACAGACATATCCTGCCAAAAACCACACCAGAGCAAACTATCACTAAAAATAACAAACAAAACTTCACACATTCAAACACTTCACTTTCACGTACCAAATTCTCGCAGGAGCTCAGTGAAGACCCCTGGGTCACTTTCAATCAAGCACCAGTTCCCTGCTCCTGAGTCTGCCATGATGGTGTTTGATAACCTGAAACATTGTGATTACCAGTTGTTACATACACCTTAATGCTTGATTTATCATCCTGCCTGGTATGCCCATACATGCCTGCACACACATACACAAGGCCAGTGGTTCACCAGATCTTTGACTCATATGGCATACCCAACCAGGTCAATGTCTGATATATTTTCACTGTCTTGTATATTGAGTGCAAACAACTTGATTGGCTGAGCTTCTGGCATCTGCAGTCATCCCACAACAGGGCTTGTTGTGCAGGCCCTTACCCCACCATGAGATTATGACATGAAGTTCAACAACAGAACATTACAGAAAATTTCAGTGCACATCAATGCCAGATGCGGTACACCTTACCCTCTGACCCCATCTGATCCTGAGTGGCAGCTGCCACAAGCAGCAAGCCATCCCAGCAAATGGCAGACAGTGAGTCATGAAGCAATTGAAGTTGACCTTTTCCACCACAGCAAGGGGGATTGGAGGCAAGCAATTGTTTCAATAAGTTCCCCTTTACATGAGAAAAATGGGCCTTCAAAGAAATACATGTCCTTTCCAGTAGCCAGTTCAGCAGCAGCTCAACTTGGTATGCCCTTAACTTATGAGGAAAGCTTTGTCTCCTTTCAAGTTATATGGCTGCCAATATATATATACTGACCTCTCACATTCATGTGCGGCATACACAACCGACAATGAAACACACTAAAATATGAAAAATGTCACATTTTGGGCAAACCAGATGCTCTTTATGGGCAACGTGAAATTCAAGAAGCTTTACTTTTGTCTATTCTTAGAAGCACGCGCACAATGATGACATCAAATGTGATTGCTCAAACAAGGGCAAAATATTAATTTTAAAAAAGGTGACTGAGCCCGACATCAACACATCAGAATCAGCTCAGTATGTATGCCTTGCATCCCCAATCATGCTGTCTGATACAAAATGAGCATGATCATGGATGTGATGGATGAATGGTGTGACGTGCCAGATCCCCTTAACATAATAATCATGCTTCATTCCAGTTCCAGAAAGGCTAACACCTTTCCAACAACCGTTTTAGTCAGAATCCAAAGAAAAAACTAAGCTTTTTTATTATCATGCATGTCAGGCACCACAGAGCAACCATTTGATGCTACATGCAGTGGCCAAGATAAAGCATTGACTCATGCCCTCCAATCAAAACCACACACCCGCGTATTTTGATGCAAGGCTCCGGTATTTATGCAGGATTTACCGATCACACGCAACACAGATTTGATGCAAGTCACAGCACACAACGTGCGCGGTATCCCAGTCAGCTGTTACGCGGATGTGGAAATGCTAGCCACCAAAAATCGCTCAAAGCCATTGAAAACAGCAAAACATTGATGATTCATCCCAAAACCACCTAGAAATACCAAATACCAAAACTTGCATACCTTGCGTTCATGGATATTTGGCAAAACACCGAGACAGACAAAAGTTCAGCCAAGAGATGGGGACTCACGGGCTTCCTGCGCACACATCCTCTGACGACCCAGTGGCGGATTAAGTAAAACGATGGGTCAGACCACCATAGGGTGCCATTTAACCATTTTAACCCCGGAAGCTCCATAACTACGTTCCCGCCCGCGTTTATGCTTGGACCCGACGTGGCTTGTCGAGCGTCCGCGGCATTGCACGTACAGGCTGCCCACGCGACACGTACGCGGACTGGTCGACTGCCACGTCTGCGGAATGCCGGTGGTCGCCTGACTCGACCTCCTGACCCGGCGCCGGTCTGACAGTACGCTCGCCAACACGGTGCACGAGGCGCCTCGCAACGTGTTGCCCACGTCGGCACCCGACGTTCTGCACCCTGCATCCAAGCACGCACACATGCAAATCACGGAGGAGCCGTCACTAACTCAGTAATCGATCTGACTCTGCACGCTGCGCACCGCACCACAATTATCAGCCATATGAGGTGCCTTTTGAGGTGGCAAGGTAATTTGCAGAGCGCTACGTCCGTATATCATCGGCAGATCAATGCTCACGGCAGCTCACTAACACACTCACACCGCCGCCCTTCTCGTACCCGACTTCATCTCGAACAGCACTAGGAGCACACAGACGCCATTCATTTCATGCAAGCTGAGGCTGGTCCTCAGGAAGTGTGGAAACACCCTCGGTAGCCCAGACCAGCTAGCTTACTCCTTTTCCAAAATCTCATTGAGTCTGAGGTGGTAAATCTCCTCCCTGTCTACAACGATATCTGGATTCACGAACACTTCCTCGTCATTTGGCGCTCTAGCACTCTTATGCTAAAACTAAGGAAACCGCCAGCCGATAAATCTCCCTCACTATCTGTCCATCAACACTATTTGCATGAATGGTCCATGGTTGCATCAGGGCGCTCCTAGCAACTCATGACCCTTTCTCCTCAGTCCAAAATGGCTACCGTCCCGGCCGCCCAACGGCGGATAGCGTCATTCAAAATCAATGACCCCATTACTATGCCGTTTTTCAAAACGCAATGATTACGGTTGCATTATTCCTGAACCTGAAGGTCACATTTGGCAAAGTGAATGAAACAGCCCTTTTCATTAAGGGTAGTGCTCCACATTGGATGCGGTTTTGAACTTCAATAGCCATATTGAAGATAATTTGGTGCAGTTCATAGTCCTGCCTTTCTGAAGACCTAAACCCCTCTAGTTTCTAAGTAAGACGCCCGTGAAGCTGTGCGGACTACTTCCGGAAGCTATTTCGAGGTCACCCAAGCATCCATAACGTCATAATAACGTCATTCGAATCCCTCCATTTCATTAGCCATGCGGCGATCAAGGCAAAAAAAAAACAAAGAAAAAACTAAAGCTTGTCAAATTGTTCACAATTGGCATTCGTGAGCACAATTCCCAGGTATCACGACCGTCAGCTGGCTCCCAATAACTGTTGCGCAAGGTTCGATGGCATAAGCAACGACGTATCGAGCAGAATATTTAGTAACCAGAGAAAATGTGTAGTCTAGAGCAGCGTTTTCCACTTAAAAGCAATACCTATAGTGATACTGGAGCTTATTTCATAACGTCTGATGCTGGCTCCAATATCTTCAAATGTGGAACATTTCGTGTAAACTGCACAAAATAGAAGTCCTCGGCACACTTGCTGAGTCCGCTCAAAACTTACTCACAGGCCGGACATTTGCAGTCTGCCGTAGGAAATCATTCTCAGCGCAGAGAGCGCAATATCATTGACTTCCTCAGAGCAGGGTGATCTCGCCAACGACATTGATAACACATTTCCCCATCATCAATTCTCCCTTTTTACCAACGGCCTGGCCTTGTGGCTTTGATATCTCAGCGTCGATCGAGTTAAAAAATTTATTCAACTTACGCTGAATCATATTCAAGAACGGTGTGATCGGTGGGGCTTCCAAACTTCTCCACCTAGACCAGCAGCGCTCATTTTCTCCAGGAACCCCATTCACGTGGCTCCAAGGACCCCATTCAACTTTCGCGGTGAAGTCATCCGATTGCTGTCCACATTTAAATATCCCGGCATCACGTTAGATCACCGATTCACATTGCCCCCCCCCCCCCCATTTCCAGACCCTAAATCACCTACTGAGCACGGCGTCTCAATATCCTAAAATATTTTGCCGAGCGAGAGTGGGACGCCGACGAGCACACACACCTTAGCCTGTACACCAGCCTGATCCAACAGATCTCAGATCAAAATGTTTTATCTTTAATGGCATTTCTCGCCAAAAGCATTAGCCCCTCGATGCCATCCAAAAACGGTCATAGGGGCCGCCACGGGCGTTTTCCGCTTCTCCACTCTCCCGAGCCTGTTGGCGGCCGCAAGAAGTCTCCCACTCACCTGCAGACGCAAACTACAACTCATCAAATTCTACACGCGTGCTGCCGGCAAGTCTATCAACGTACATGTCAAACTCTCACGGCACTCCAAAACACTCCGACGTAGACCACCACACAGCGCAAACACAATACAATCATCACGCGAGTTCAGCACGCACACGAGCAGTTTCACCTACCACACCCTGACGCACTCGTCACGCATCCACTCGTCCGTACTGGCTGGACCCTACTCCAGCATTGGGCTCCGCTTAAAAAGAAAACATGCCGTTACCCATGCGGAGGTAAACGGAGGTAAACATGGTGAAGTTTAAAACAGAAAACAACAAAATCTCTGCTGTCAGTAGCGGAGAGGCTAGGTGAACGGGTGCGACATATATAGCCACCACCTTATCGTCTTTGTGAAGTTGATAATGTGTAATATCAGGTACTAATATGCCTGTCCTCAGTATGTTACAAATACAGTAGCCATGTTTTTGTAACATAAATGATATAATTAAGATAATTAAAATACAATCAAAATAATTGTCAAGCGTCGAAGTGACAATGCATAATGTATATAAGCGCAAATGCATATAAGCGCTATGCGATCCTGAGAACCTGTTGATCTAGAACACGCAATTTCTGACCCCGAAAAAGTATTGCACGTGTCACTTAGTCCCGGTTAGCACTTTAATTTTTCACTTGGAACGCTTATGAGTTTGACCCAAGTTGGCCTTAGCTGACGACTAGGTCAGCCTCAAATGATATTTGTTGTGCGTGATATACTTCTGTTCCACAGTAGCATCTAAGAAAATGCATTTTGTCAGAAGTACACTGGGAAAGAAAACAAAACGCATCGTTCTTGTAGGCAGCTGGTTGACCAGTTTTGGATGGTGACCTGACCTGAACTCATCCCTGTGCATGGAATCCCCAAGTCTTATCTGTTCGCCCTTAATATCCGTCTTGAGGTGTTAATATATGTCTCTACTGCACCGAATAGAACGGCCGCTTTTGCCGTTCGTGGACTCTAGTAACTTCACATTTGGACTAACGTGCAAATTTGGTGTGTATTCTTCATGTTTCGCTGAGGCCTTTAAAACGGTGTCTTGTTTTCGTACGGCGTCTGAAAATTGGAGGTCCAAAGGAAAGTCAACTTCCCCTCCCCAGGCCGGGCGCGGTTGTCTCAGACCCCGACCGGGCACAGGTTAAATCCCGCCAAAAGGTTGAATTCACTCCACTGCATCGTTTGCTGTCCAAGAGTTGTATTGGAATTTCCATGCGAACGAATAAGTGTGCATGGATTTTGCAATTTTACTTATTGTCCTGAAAAGTTGTTAACGAGAAGTTGTTGGGGATTAACTGCAGTTTGACATTTGAATCCTATGTTAGGTGAATTGGGATTTTGGTTCAGATTCGGGATTCGAATTTTGTTCTATTCCGTTAACCAAGAAGAGGTAACCAGGAGTGTTATTTAAATAAATTGCTTTAAATCTATTTGAAAATGCATCCGAATATTTCCATCGATACTTCAGCACCATAAAGCAACATGATTCCCTTTTACCGACGTCATTGGGTCCTGGACAACTGCGTTCAACGCTTCGATCAATTATATATACTAGATCATTAACTCGGCGAAAACCATGGAACAAGGCATACTTAAAGCGACATGCATGTGCAGCATCTGGCGTATTTGATAGAAATTTGAGCCTTCAGCACATTTCAATGCATTGATTTGAAATTACATTTTTCAGAGTTGGAATCCCTGTTTTCAAGATGTGAGGACAAGCAAAATAGACATACAGGAACCCATTCGGCCCTTGCGAGCTCGAACCCTCGGCTCTATTGTACACCCATTTATTTCATCACTTCCTGTACAGCCTTCCTATGGTGACGCATCTAGACTCGTATGGCCTTTACTGAAAGCCTGGGAATATTCCGCACGGCGCGTATATTTCATCTGCAGCTCCCATAGCGTCAGTGGTATAAGAGATTCACACTGATTTATGAACAAGCTCATCATAGATCTAGTTCATCTAGTAAAGGGAAGTTCTTGTTGACCAAAATTGCCTTCAAACATTGGATACATACCTAAACCTTCGTATATATATATATATATATATATATATATATATATATATATATATATATATATATGTCATATGACTATACAACAATGAATATAGTGTATATACCATATGACGATATATAAAAATACATCAAAAGGCGTGTATTTGCCAATATGACATCACAGGCGTCGTGCGAGCCCCGTGCAGCTCGCTCATATTGCTGTGGCGCTCGTCTCGCCCGGGGTGTCCGCATCCAGGCCGAAAGTTAAGGCAGTACCAAAAAGTGCATAATTAATGCATTTAATTACGAGAGTGGTAGGGTCCCTGATGTCAAAGCACGGAATGAGAGTCGGTTTTCAGAGACTTTGTTGACGGAACTCGAGGCTTAATATGA